ACAACAGCGAAAGAATGTTGTACATTTTGATACTTGCAATCCATTCATAGGCTATGGATATTCGCCTGATACTGGAATACCCCGCTACAGCCCCCCTCCGTGGCACATAGCCCGCACCAAAGGGTGTATGGAATGAACAACTACTCAAACGCAAAGGTTGAACGCATAGAAACGACGTGGATATTCACAGAGGCCTGTCGGGACATTATCTCTTCTGCCAGGCTGCATCTATGCTCAACATTGCTACCTATCGGAATGGCCACGTATAGTTTTACAAGCCAAGCTCGGTAGTGGTTTCCGGCCACGCAAATAATAATACTAAGGGAAAGAGACACCACGTCGCCCTATCTACATCGGAAGCAAAAAAAGGAGCCAAAGGAGAGTCTAGAACCTACAAAGGCGTCTGCGGGTTGGTCAAAGAATCAAGATTTAGCACGATCCAGAAAAATAACTCTTTATTTTTGGAAAACTACGTAATTCCCTATGAACACAGGCTGCGGGGTCAAAGCAAATGGGAAACGCTGGAAGATCTGGCGGAAGCTTCTAAGCCGCAAACAAACCTGTTGCAATTCACTGTATTGGTTAGAATTCCAATGTCAAACTTCTCGCATTAAGGCCATGGTACGAGTCGTTAACGTGCACGCATGTCTGACATGGGGGCCTCTAATTTTTATTTCCTTTTAGGTTGCTGACGAGCAACCGATATAACGGATGACAAGACCGCCCTGTGTGAGGGTAGGAAACATCGAAGGCCACGCCAGACGGAGGGAGCTGCAGGGTTTCCTTTTTCACCGAGAACCCGACTGCTGCGAGCTAGATGCAAGTAAACATGTTCCTTATATCCCTACACGGCATCCCAATGACACACTCTACTCTACCCCACCTGTGTTTGGGTCGTACGCCAAACAAGTTGCAATCGACAAACTGACGACAAGTTGCTCGCCAGGAGCGAAGCGTAGGATGGAACGCACTGAAGGGCGGGGTAGGTATCTTGCTGTGCTGCAATGGTGTCTTCCTTCGGCCTGGGGTGCAGCGAAGGGAGGGAATATGAGACTGATTCAGTAGAACGATCGTTGATTGGGGGTGGTAGCAAGTCGATGCTGTATAGAGACATGAAGCGTCACTGGGATGGATGTCAACAGAAATTTCTCAACTTGTAAGGAGAAGAGACAGAAGAAGGAAATAATGGAACAGGAACGAAAGGTTTGTCCTGGGGCATCGGCGAGCATATCACTGCTGTTAAGGCAAGCATCATGACCATCGATCAAATATCTGCCGAATCTTCTCAACCAGCCTGGTTGACGGGTGAAGAGAACGAATAGTGGGTGGAATGTCTTTCACGTCGTGGTGACAGCAAATGATGCTGGCTGAAGGAGATATTGTTCCCCCCGTCTGATTGTGGCAGGTCAACTGTGCAGCAGGAAGGCATCGACAGGGAAAAAAAAAAAAAACATCTCACTGTCAAGGGGATGGATAATTGAAAAGCGGCTTGTACTCTGTACGACAGCAAAAAGGTAACTGCATTGTATATGCACATATTATTGCAATGTCACCATCTTGCCCGCCGCTGACATGCAGTCAGGAAGATGATCTCGATGCATGCCACTCTCGATCTCCGATCCTCTCCCACCTTGGATATGAAATGGAGGAGTATTCCGTAAAAAAGATTCAAGGAAATGCACCGCATAGCTGATGGGGATGGGTGGCTTCTAGCCACGGAACGACGGACTGACCCCCAATAACTGGGCGATCCGAGTGGAGAATGCTCTCAAATCTACGGAGTACTATCCTAAGAAGTACGGAGCACTCCGTATATATCAAAGTTGTTTTTGGCTTCCAGGAACCAAGTTTTCTTAATTTTAAGCTACTCTCGAGCCCTTCCCTGACCGCTCGAAGCCATAAGGCTTGTCGGAAAAAGTTTGAAGAGAGAGAGAAAAAAATCTGATCGTACACCGACATCCACCCAGCTGAGCATAAGGAGATGATAGAAAAGAATAATAGACAACTCGAGAAGTTTGATATCGAAGTGGATCGAAAAGACAAAAATATCTTTTCGCACTGACAATGGAGACCATCGTCACGATCTAGGTCGGTTTGAGTGGGAATAGATGGCGTTTGGTCGCGGGGCCTCAGACCGCCCAGAGAGACGAAAGGAGAATGGTGTCTTACGGCAGCAAAAGCCTGTAAGCGGAGAATAATAGCAGCCCGTCCAGCCACCCAACGTGATCTAGGATTCCAGGACTCAGCCGTTGTACAGCAGGTGAAGTGCTTGAAAAAAAGGCGAAGCCAGGATGTTGATATCGAATAAGCAGCGTCAGAGGCTTCAGGGCTCTGGCATGAAAGTAGCACCGGCGTCGTCCACGGATAGCCTCTGAGGAAATTTGATCCGATCATCCCATGTGCACGAATTGACAGCCAGGAAAAAGGAGAGTTGAGGTGATTTGGCTCAGCCCATCCCTGGTTTACCCGTACGGATTGTGCGGTTTTGCCATTTAGTTTGCCTGCCAACCGGCCTGCCAAAAATTGTATCGACAACTGTTTTCCTTGTTAAGAAATCGATAATCCGACGCTGAAGATCAGATACATCAAGTGACAACCGAGAGGTGGAAGCGGCCTTTGCTCAGACGCATTATGCATGCTGGTTTTTGGCTTCTGCAGGAGTTGAAAAAAAGGTCTGATGTATTTGCGTGTCTCTGGATAGCCAGCTTCAGCCTTCAGCGACCCACAAGTGTATATGAATCTGGACTGTCAAGTGCCTGCTGGCCCTACTCAAGGGATACCCGACGTCTCCTAGTCGGGGCCGGGATTGAGATGTGTAGCGAGTGACGCCGCGACAACATTCAGCAGCGGCAGCGAAGGAAGAGAAAAAAAAAGGGGCTAAAGGAAAGTCTGGGAGAGACGCCGATCACTTGCGCTTTTGGGACAGCGGACACTAGACTGCTTCGGGCAGCGGATCAACAGGGCAAAGAGATTATGTCAGCATCCGTTTACCGACTTTTTTTTCTGAAAAAGACGACAGCGAAGAAGCAAAAACAACATCCCCAAAAGGCAAACAGAAGAAGCTTCGTCAGATAATATTTTATTTAACGGGGGAACCAGCAGCTTTGACGTTGCCTCCCCTGATCGTCTCTCCCTTTTTTGCCTGCTGGCTCGGGGATTATCCAGCATGTACCTGTGCTGTGGACTGACTCGCAGTGTCCCTCTCCATGTTTTTGCCTCAGGCTAAGAATAACACGGGAAGTTGACCCCAGTGATAGTCGCCCAAAATCTGGGGTAGGAGTTCGTGCTGAGGTTCGGCGACGCTAAGAAGAAACAGCACGGAGGGGGGGGAGCAGAGTAGAGCAACGCCAGTATAGGGATTCTCGAGACTTCATACGCGGCCAGTAGTTGCTAAGAGTCTCAGAGCAAATCAGGAGGCGGCGAAAGGAAAAGCAATCGGAGTGGCAGAGAGATTGACGAGTAAAGCTGGCAATGCATGATGGCTTGGACGTTACACTTGTGCAACCGTCCAGGCAAATACGTACCGTCCGGATGCCCCGTAGCTTGACCTCGAGCTTGCCGTACTCCAACGCAGGAACCGCGAAGATGGACTGGAGGCATCTCCTGAAGCGAAAACCGCTGCAGTGGAGAGAGTGTGGCCAGTAACTAACAAACATGTCTACTAGTCATTGCTGAGCTGAAGCGAGAAAAATGGTTATGCGATGCTCTGGACCGCTTAGTGTTATGGGACTATTAGATCCTTGGTCAAACAGTCTAAACAACCTAGTCAACCAGACCAGCGGAGGAAGGAAAGCCTTTCCTTTGTTGCTGCTGAGTCCAAGGGAAAGCTCTTACGCGCCTAGGTCTCTGCTACCTGCGTCCGCGGCCGCCTCAGCCCTGGCCCCCCTTGCGCACTATTGAACCAGCTGGCAAAAGCTTGCTGGGACTTCCCTGACCAGATTATCAGCAAAAAATGAAATAAAATTACTCCCTGGTCAGTTTAATTGCATGAAGAAATTGACTTGTTGGTTCCATCGAGTAATAGTAGCTTATCCTCCCTTATAACTCTCTTGTGCGAGATCGATGTATGAAAATCAACTGCAAACACTTGAATGGAGTGGGGATCCACATAAATCCAGCAGGGCAGTTGGGTTGGAGATTTGTTACCCCCATGCAGTCACTTGCCTCCCGATCCAATCGAGAGCTTCCCTTTGCTGGAAAAAGCAATAAGTCAATATTGTGGCTTTCCAGCATTGAGGGAGGGACTTGGAATTAACATCCAGGATGCAGATATCGTTTTGAGGTCATACAGCTATTGTCTAGGAAAAGGGTGAATGTACCCTTCTTACACACTGTGTGACATTCTGTGGGAGAGCTACATCACTGGACATGGAGCGCTCAAATCGCCTTGCTTGACTAATATGATCGGTTCCATTGGGGATGCCATGGCTTCGCTTGCCATCTCATAGTTTAGTAGGGTATGAACTTGTGTGTAGGATCAAAGCGGGTTATGACTCTTTTTTCGTTTTCCTTTTCGGTATATGCAAGAGACGGAGGCTGCGGAGCATGAACGGGGGGGCTGGCGCTCGCTCTCCACTCTACGCGAAAGTGCTACTAGAGGCAAGAGTGGAAAAGTCCATCTAGAACTGAACCCGTGCATGTACAGCTTAGACCCGCCGATCCTAATACAGGCCATACCACATTCCCGTGTAAACGAGATGGGCGGCGGGATTTGCAACCCAACCCCAATGTGGCAAAGACGATATCTCCCTTTGCGTTTGAGTTCAATTGTTGCACAGTATTGTCTGCCAGTAACCCCTTTTTCAGTCCGAAAGTGACTGTCAAACCTCTCCAGAATGTCTATATAAGGAGCTGGAAGTCTGCCCATCCATCGACTTTTTTTTTCTCCATCAGCATCACTCTCAAGCATCTCACAACAACTTCCAAAACAGCCTCAATCTCCAACAATCGACTTCTTCTTTTTTAAGAGAAATCCTCTTCCAAAAAACCAATCAGTCAAAATGAAGTTCTCCATTGCCGCCGCTGTTTTGGCCCTTGCCTCCGCTGTTGTTGCCCACCCCGGTGCTGGCTACGTCTCTACCCCCGAGAAGGAGGCCAACTTCCAGCAGAACTTCCAGAAGTTCGTCACTGCTTGCGGTAACGGCAACCAGGTCTCCTGCTGCAACACTGAGACCAAGAAGGTCGGCGCTCCCCTCACTGCCGGTGGCCTCATCCCAATCCTCGACAACCTCAACCTCGAGGACTTCTCCCTCCTCAAGGGTTGCTCCAAGGTCGACGTTGCTGGTAAGTTACTCAGCCTATCCATTCGGGGTATCAAAAAAAAAAAAAAAAAACGCAAGCCTCTCGCTAACATATCATCTCTACAGCCGTCATCGGAGTCCAGGACCTCCTCAACTCCAACTGCAAGACCCAGGTCTCCTGCTGCAAGGTTGGCGACACCAACCAGGTAAGCGGTTATCCCCATACAATCCTTCTTTCCGCCCGCATCACTAACAATCTCTCTAGGTTGGTCTCGTCAACGCCAACGTCGACCTCAAGTGTGCTGCCCAGAACATCATCTAGATGGCCTAGCAACTCCCTTCTTGACACCGATGGTCTTGAGTCACAACCTGATTCAGCCTACATCAACCGGCATACATCTTGGTGGTTTCTTCTAGAGGCCAATGCCACCGTTTCTCTCCTTTCCTTTCTGTTCCTTATGTTACCCAAAGGGGTTGAGATTCGGGATAGAACATCCACCTCCACTGTCTGTTGGCTTTCCTGTTATTAGATAATAATATGCTTAGTACTTAATATATTCTGCTTGCGACTGCATACTTCACTTCTTCCCGCAGCTTTTTCTGCTTATCCTTTCACAGTTCTAATTTTCAAAACATTTTGTAAATAAGTCGCAATAAACGGACACAGAACTGCTCTAACGATGGCTATCTTGGTATAACAGTCTTCCAAGCACGGTTCGAATAACCTGTACAAGCATTCTCTTTGTGTACACGTAACTCCGTACCGCCAGGAGTCAAGTTTGAGGTCGGGTTGAGGTTCATCAGGTGGATCCCTGCGCACGGACTCGGGCAGAGAGCTCCAGTTTATCGGAAGTTTGTATCACCGAAACCCGGAAGTCAATTTCTGACTTACATAATCATGTAACTTCCCACAAAGATCCCCACCGTCCAAGGTCTTTTCCTTTTTGTTTTCCAGCTTTGTGTTAGTGAACAGGTATCTAATTCCTGGTTAGACGGAAAAAAAACAAAGGAGACGCTACTACTTTGTGACCTCATGGCTAAGCTGTTACGGCTTGTTCACTTGGCAACGTAGCTTTCAGCTGGTGCATACCCTTTGACTTCCAGAGTATGCTACTAGGTACCCTCTACTGAGGGCTAAGAGCCCTAGTCTTGACCATATAGACATAGTCGGAAGCCACAAAAGGATTATCAACTGTAGTTGATAGTCACCACTGAAAAGGGGGAGAGGGGACGGCAGCTGGGCCTGGGAATACCAGGAACTTGTCGGCCTGGCTGTCCCGTCCGAGTCAAGTGTTTGACTACTCCGTACTGGTTGCTGGCTTCTTGTGACATGTATCTTCGGTTTGGCAAAAAGGAGGCATTCTTGGATACGACAAGTAGCATCAGACATGTGTGATTTATGCATTACTCATTAATTAAGCGAGGATATATCCAGACATATGTAGCTTATCAAAGAAGGAGTGTTTGTACTCCGTACCTGCATGGCTTTTCGTATGCTTCCCCTGCATATTCGACACCCCTCTGCATACGGCGGACCTATAAATAGCATTCTTTTCTGGTAGCATAACATGTCAAGGAAGAGAGAATAATAAAAAAATAACAAAGGTGTATCAATTTATTGTGCTCTGGATCTTGCTAATACCCAAGAACGCCTAAAAAGAAAGAATAAAATTCAGAATAACCATGCCCTGATACAGTCTCTTTAACCAAATGCTACTACGCGGTCACACCATTAGGAGCAGCGGTGTTGGTATCAGCCAGGGTACTACCCTGCTGTGTCTCTGGGGATATCCTTTTGCTAAGCAGCCTCTTTAGAGAGCTCCGGCTAGGGGATTTGGGTGAACCTGGTTCTGGTGAAGCAGGTAGTGGGGGTAATGAGGAAGGGGATGGCAGACTCTCTGAGGAGGTCTCCTCTATCTTCTCAGAGTTGGCATGGGGGGTGGTCTGGTTTGCTGTTCCGTCATTGTCTGCGGAACAACTGGACTGGTTCAATGTAGCATTTGTATGGTTTGTGTTCAGGGTATCTCCATCCATAACTGATTTTAAATCTGGTAACAACCATCCTCGTGAAACATTATTTCCTGGATCTAGGGAGGATGTGGTAGTGGTGGCGGCAGTGGTGGTGGTAGAAGTACCAGACAATCCAACTGAGTTATTATTTTCACCACCATTGTTACCAAACATCTCCTCAACAAAAGGGAGGCTAGATCCAGTGAAAGCCTTGCCAAAGGCATCTGGCTTCAAGTCCAGCTGGAACTTTGGGTCTGGCGGGAAGTAGGGTCGGTTGACATGCGAGGTGACAGGCGACATCTGGAGCTCTGGGGCTGGTTCTGTCGCGGTTGACATTGCGGTCGATGGTCTAGATCTGAGAGACGAGAAGACAGACATTCGGCGAGCCCGTCTCTTCCCCTCCTTGAAGAATTGTGGTTGTGGCTGCTGCCCGTCACTCCTTACTGACATCAACGACTGCTTCTTGGATACCACTATCCCGGGGGACCCTGGCTGTTCATTCTGTGGCGACACGGGCAGTTCTACCGAAGCTGGGTTCACGGGCTTGTCGTCATCGCCTCGAGCTGGCGTTCGGGGTTCGTTCTCGGCCGCGGGCTGGCTCGTTGCCGATGATGGATTGATGTGCGGAAAATCGAGCTCGACCCGGGGAGCTTTATGGTTGGTCCCATTCTTCTGCCCTGCAGACGCCTCAACAGCATCATTACTAGCTGACTCTGATGACGCTGCTTCCTTCTCTCGCGTCTGGCGAGAACGTCGACGGGAGAACAGAGAGGCAAACAGAGGCATGGCTTTTAAGCGGTGAAGAGCGGACCGGTAGGCTGGAGGAGAAGCGAGTTGGAGGTTGCTTGCTTGGAACCTTGGATAGCTGCAACGGCGGGAGGAGAGCTTTGGGTTCTGCTAACTAGGCCCCGGGGTTGATAACAAAAGGGAGCTATGGATATCGACGATTCCAGCCGATGCAGCCGATGCAAGCAGGGGGAGGAAGAAGAAAGGGAAAAAAAGACCGAAGAACAACGAAGCAAAGAAAAGAATGAAGAATGAAGAAGAAAGGGGAAAGTCAAACGCTGACGGTTAACCAAATGCAAGGAAGGTAAAGAATAATAACAATAATATCTCCCCTGGGAGAGACGGAGCGAAGATCTCCAGGCCGTGGCGTGAAAGGGGGCCAAATAACACCCTTCCGGCGTCTACTATGTACTCCGTACGGCAGAGGAGGTTCTGCAGCGGCCTTCAGACGCTTCTCAATCGCTCAGGGACGCACTCGCCTTCGTGGAGGTGTTTGTGAAAAACTCTTGTCGTTATGGATCGAGTGAAGCAGCAACTTGGGCATCACTCTGGGAGCAGCAGCAGCAGCAGCACCAGCAGCAGGGCAGACCCTGGCCAGCGAGATCTCTGTGGAGACGGGGACTGAAAGAACCAGTCGTTTTCGTCCATGGCAACCTGCATCTCCCCGAAGAGGCCTCGCCTTTCTTAGGAGGGATAGGCCCAGGGCGAAAAGGGGGCACAGGTCGTAGCTGGGTTTTTTTCTTCCCTCTTTGCTTCCCTTTTTTCTTCCTGCATGTCTCTGTGCCCAATGTTTTGCATTTGCTGTCTTTTGCGAGCCCTACGGGACGTTTATTCGCTGCCGTTGGCGCACCGGGATTGCGATGTCTCCTGCTCGCGTTGAGATCTAAATCGCAGGGTGTGACAGGCGCCGGCAAGAGCACTAACCATGGTACGGAGTACTGGGCTACAAAACTTCTAGTAAGCGTCGGGTGTGTTGAGTTTCTACCAGGAACATGTCTCTCTCCATCCCAGTTGATTCTGTCCTCGTCTTATTATTCTAATTCGCACCCGTACGTACGCATCTGAGGAAGCAGAAGAAGATCGATCGCACACGCAGGCTGTGCAGAGCTTTCGGTTTGTTTTGGGTCCCGCCCGCAAGGTTCCACATCTCGGCTCAGGGGTCTGCGGAAGGGAAGCTAGTTTATCCTGACCCTTGTGGCCGGAGATTTTTGAACCTGGACGATAAACGGTGTCAGCCAGCAGCCAGGGACTTGCTGATAATGCATGCAACTGTTTCATTCTACGGAGTGTTTGGTGCAGTGTGTCCTGTTGGAGACGGATACGGGCAATTCGTTGTCTATCATGAACAAAGGAAGAAAACGGCCAAAGGTTTTAAAATTATTCTATCAGATAGGAAGCACGGTAAGCTCAAGCTAACACAACTATGCATGTCTTAAAGTCTCAAACAGATCTTAGCCGAGTCTATGATGGTCTGATTCCCAATCACCATTGTATGCATCTACAGCTTGCTCTGCGTGGCTGGTGTATATAGCTTGTTGGTTGCTGCCATGACCTCAGCAGCCTCCTTCTCGATACGAGTGAGAAGCTCGGCACAGGTTGGAATGTCACGAATAAGGCCGATGACTTGTCCGGCAGTCCAGACCTATTCCACAGTGGAAGGAAAAAAAAAATACAAGTCAGCACAACTATAGCCTGGGAAGGGAAGGGGAAAAAAAGAGTGGAAACGGAATTGTGCTTCCGGTAAAGAAAAGACGGGGGTGAACGGGGAAACGGGGAGAAATGGACTTACTCCATAATCTACGTCACCATTGATAAAGACTTGACGCCCACGCTTTCCGCTAACGAGATGCGCAAGCTCGGAGAATTCACCCGTCTGGCTCTCCTTCTCGATCTTATATGCCTCCGCTGCCACCTTGTTGTTGAACAGACGGGATGTATTCCTCCACCGACGAAGAAGCAGCTGAGTATCCGTCTCGTCTGCCTTCACAATGGCTTCCTTAATATTATTATGGATAGGTGCTTCAACAGTACACATGAATCGTGTACCCATGTTAATTCCGCAAGCACCCAGCGCTAGTGCAGCAGCTAAACCGTTGCCGTCCGCAAACCCACCCGAGGCAATGAACGGGACACCCAGATCCTGCCTGGCACGGCTCAAAAGGATGAAGTTTGTAATATCGGTCTCTCCAACGTGTCCGGCGCACTCAAAGCCGTCAATGGAGAGGAAATCCACGCCTAGCTTGACAGCTGACTTGGCATGTCTAATGGTAGTACATTTATGGAGAACGGTGCAGCCGGCTTTCTTCAGTTGCGTGATGATAGGACCAGGGTTGTTTCCTGCAGTTTCAACGATGCGGACTCCTTCTTCAATGATGACTTTGGCATAGGCGGGATAGTCAGGCGGTGTAAGCGCGGGCAGGAAAGTGAGGTTGACACCAAACGGATTCTTGGTCATCGTCCTGGTCTTTCGGATTTCCTTTCGGAGATCTTCGGGAGTAGGTTGTGTCAGGGCGGTAAGCTGTTGTCAATATTTGATACCCGTTAGCAATCAAATCACGTTTACAGAACAGAAATGGCTCGTCGGATATGAAAGACATACGATTCCAAGTCCGCCAGCGTTACTGACGGCCGAAGCTAGTTCAGCGTATCCAACCCATTGCATACCACCCTGGACAACGGGAACTGGGTATCTGTTAGCAAAACCTGCACAAAAAGCCTCGCGAACAGTGAAGACTTGAACTGACTTCTGATCCCTAGTTTCCGCGTGAGTTCGGTGGTGAAAGGCATCGTCGACAAGTTAAACTCAAGGGTATCAGCGGTATGTAGTCTATACTTCTAGTCTATAAAAGCGAACGTGATATTTCAGGGCTGGGAAAGACGCAGAACAGGACGACTGTATGAGAAAGAATGATATATCGAGGGACGTTCCCTCCCCAAGAAGGACGCCTTGAAGAAACGTCGCTTCGCTTTCGCAGCGCTCCATCAAGACATCCCAGGCCGAGGACCGAGGCACCTTGCTCGCGTGACACGTCATGTGACCATTTTTGAGTCTGTGATTACTCAGCATATCAGTGCAGATGGATTTTTGATACAGTGATGTAGCAGTGATGTAGCAGTCGGGCTGAAGACTGGGTTGCTAAGCATATTTTAGACAGGTAAGATATGACAAGAGCTTTGGATAGATATCATTCGTATATGCAATTAGATTGATATAAGTTATTGGACCATATTACCCCGGAACTCGGATAGTAAAAAGACCTAATATTGGTGCCTCGCAGAAGATAGAAGAATTTGTTGAAAATAAATAACTAAACACTGACAGTAATTTGTGACCCTGATATGAAACCCAGCTCGCTCATTGAAAGAGTGGACTGGGCGATTAACGACGGGTTGAAATATGCTTTCTCACTCTCAAAACCTCATGACCATCTCGATGAGCCACGACAGAATGTCGCAGCTTAGAGTGAGATGTCGCTAAAAAGCATCTCCTTCATTCCGAGCACATCATCCACAGGAACTGTAGCAACAAGCCGGTCTGAGATGAAAGCTGAGGTCCTTGATGTAAAGAGGAGAAGAAGAAAGGAAGGAGAGAAGGGGAAGTTTTTTGTGCCCGTTTGGTGCAGATTTCCCAAAAGGGATCGGAACGGCAAAGCATTCTTCCGGTCATGTGTTTGGAATTAGCGCGATTGTGATTGGCTCCGATATCTGCCGATTGTGCCTTACATAACCCGAGGGTAACTTCATCATTTGTTCGGGACGTTTCTGGTTTGGGGATTTTGCCTATGATGTCCCGTTGAGAGCAGAAATATACCAGGGCAATTCAATCAGACGCGAAGATGTTTTCCAACAGGCTAGCGCAGCAGTCGCTGAGACGACGTAAGTGGTTATATATTTGCCAATTGATGGGCTGTTCGGTGCTAATAATCGTCCTAGTTGCGACACAACACCCATCTGCATTCAGAAACTCGGTATCCAAGTTCGCCAGACCGGCTGCCATTGCAACTGGAAACTATGCTCAGTTCAGGTTAGTATCTTCATTGATATACCGGTGTTTCTATTGTTACACGCCTGGCATGGTGGTGGTGTGGGCTGGGGAGGCTGATAACCCTGGGATTCATTCAACATTGACGATCGAGGAATGGGCATATAAGCGCATATCTAATCAACATGAGAACTAATATACATATCATATCAGACCGGCAACATCTTCTGCGGCACCCTCCGGCACCGCTGAGCCAAACAACATCCTCGCCAAACAGCGTCTTAATCGCCCCGTCTCTCCACATCTCAGCATATACCGACCACAGATAACCTGGTACCTGTCCAGTCTTAACCGTATCACTGGTGCCATTCTCTCCGGTGGCCTCTATATCTTCGCCAGCGCCTATCTCGTCTCTCCACTACTCGGATGGCACCTTGAATCCGCTTCTTTGGCTGCTGCCTTTGCTGCCCTCCCCATTGCCGCCAAAGTTGTCATGAAGTTCACCATGGCTCTGCCCTTCACTTTCCATTGCTTCAATGGTGTGAGACATCTTGTTTGGGATTTAGGAAAGCAGTTGACCAACCAGCAGGTTATTACCACTGGATGGACTGTTGTTGGGTTGACTCTTAGCAGTGCTCTTGCCCTGGCTTTGCTCTAAGTTCCTTATTATAGTATGGACCACCAGACTTCTGACTGCTCTTTTATCTTTGTACCATTGCGTGTTGCTCAATGTATATGTCCTTATTTAAAACCCATCATCTATTTCTAGTTACTTTATCCTAATAAGATGAAAGTCTTATGTGCTATCTACTATGCATCCTTACACGGGATGTTCCCTATACATTTTTGAAACAAAATTAGGCATTAATTCTCTTTTGTGTAGGCAGGAACATTAAACATTATGCTACAGGCAGCATGAAATGTCTAAGGATCTCATCAATGTATTCTACATACAAACTAGGCACAACACTTTTGACAATAATGAAGCCACATAGTATTTCACTTTTTTCCCACATAAAACCCCACACCTTTTTTTAAAAGATTTTTTTTTTGTTTCCTTTTTAATTTTTTTAATTTTTTTTTTTATTTTGCCGAGTTCAGAGAAAATGCTATTAATCGGTAAGGGTGCATTAATGTTGTTGTGGAATCCGGAATTGTTGAGGTTGAAAAGTTGTGATAAAATATACATTCAGAGATAGAGAATTTTTTTTTTTTTCGTCTGTTGTTGATACTCCATAGAAGTGATGCCGCTTGTCGGTGGTAGAATAGCAGAGTAACGTAGTAGTAGTGGTATGGCCGATCAGTGGTGTTTTGTTCAACAGGCGGATTTTTTTATTTTATGTTTGTTGTATCTCCATTTCTCAACATGTAGAGCCATTGAGGCCTCGGATTCTGATACCATAGCATTCTTAAGTTGTGACGAGTTTGTTTGGAAATGCCAGCTGCTTTGCGGAGTGGCCCTTAAACCGGGCTTGGTGGTGGGTTTGGAGGAGTTGGCCGAGGAGACAAGGGGGTGACAGAGAAGTTATCCTGGTTGAAGGCTTCGGGCTCAGCATAGGTGTTGATGTTGGCAGTAGCAGGCTTGCCCTGAGCGGAAGAGCGTCCTGAAGTACGGCGCTGGATGCCACGGGGGCCAGAAGAGAAGTTCATGGTAACAGGCATTGCAGAGAACAGTTGCAGCGTGTTAATTGTGTAGTAAGAAGAGGAACAAGGCTTGTTGTTACTTAAAGAGTGCCTGAGAGCGTGGAAGCGTGTGAATGTGTGATGGTAGACAATATGTAAGGAACAAAAATAAGAGAGGATGAGAAAGAGGGAGAGGTTGTGTGCGAATTTAAACGAGACAAAAGCCTGAGCTTCAGATAACGTGAGCAAGCAGGACAGCCAGGTATCTATGTTCTATCGAAGGTTCTAGCCAGTTCCTAGTTTGGATATCAAGGACTCCAGGCAGTGCACGTGGAGGACATGGAGAAAAGAAGAGAGGAAGGGCCTGTTTTCAGGGTCTATCTGGCTGCCCATCGCCGGTCTGTCCTGGGTTGTTGCTCCTTCAGGTGCAACATGCAAGCTGCCGCTTCACCCTCGTGGCCGCATTTCTGGCCTCTCGTTTGACTGGCCGCCCTATTCCCTTCCCGTGGGGAAGTTACAGCAGCTATAGCTTGGGCTGTAGCGGTATAAGTTACTATTACGAGAGTTCCCGCCGGTCCCGTTTCACCCATTAAACGCTGCAAGACTCAACGGTAGCCAGATAGAGAAAAATATGACAAACACTCAGTAAGGCTCTCCATCCCCGCGCAAGGTGTCAAAGGCAGAGTCGAGGCCAGTCCCACAAGGCAGTATGAGGTCCGACGTCTTGAGAAACACCCATGGTATAGCGAAATATACTTATCGATGCATGACACCTCGGTTGATCTGGATAGGAAAACGGAGATGTGTGAAAAAATGACGTTTGGTTTGGGTGAAAAGAATAGCAAACAGAAAGATGAAGTCCTTTTTCTAAGAATAGGAAGCATTGGATCTTCTCTACGCTGGAGTCAGATTATGTGGGCGAGGAACTTCCGTGGGGTTTGTTTGACGGGGTATCCCAGCGGAAGCTCCGCATGTCATCGACATTATAGCTTCTCTATACAAGTTGATTGTACGCATATCAGGTTGTCAACTGATACTTCTATTATATGTGCATTTCTTCTCTATGGGTATACTTCCGGCATGGTGTCCGATTTCTTCGGGGAAGAGAGATATTGCCACAGAATAAGAGCTGAAGAAATGACGATGAGTTTGATGAAGAGCATCTATACAGTCTTTCACTTTCGATGTACATGGCGGAATGGTACACTCAGTCTTCATGATAGATGTCGTTGTCTTTGGCATAGTGGGAGTCGTTAGAAGCTCGACACTTGTCCTAATCGGGGCTAGCGTGATCGTGTGAGAAATCTCGTAGCTTTCGACCATCTGCGACTTTGCTGAACCAAGACTACGTTTTGACGGGCACTTGATACCTCCGGATGAATAGCGGACAGGCCATCGACTGCTACTAATGGCTTCAAAAATATCTCCTCTCCAGACAATTGCTGCTGGGTTTGCCCAGCCTGTGTGCAGGCGCGCCCCACGCTTCATTCTACCATTCTGCTCACAGTCTCAACCGAGCTCTCGACGAAGAATATCATCCTCCCGCGCCCCCCAAGAACAGCAGGCCGTGTCGAACTCAATCCCAAGATGGCAGCGAACCCCTCCTGCCATGAAGGCTCCGGTCCGACTGCGTGAATCTCCGAATAAGACTGAGTTCAAGGTCAATTCCGATCCTGCGGTGCTGGACAACTTCTACGTGCGAATGCTAGGACAAAACGGGGACAAATTACTATCAGAAGAAGTCAAATGGCAAGCAGTTACGCATAAAAGTTTTGATCAAGGACGGAGGGGGTTCAATGACCGGTTGGCCTACTTTGGTATGTTCCCATACGCAACTGGGACGCTGCGCCCACATACGAGAAGATGAAAGGAAACGAAAGGAAAATATGGCTTGCTAATAGTATTTACACCACAGGGAAGCAAATAATCCTCCTCCAAGCATCGCTTGCCCTCGTTCAAAATCCTACGGCCTACGCCCAACCCTTAAAGCCAGATCCGTTTGAAAGGCTGCCATATGACTCTGCTGCGCTCAAGGGTCTCGAAGTCTTGTCTCAGAACACGAGGTCTCAATTGACACGGAAGAAGGAAATGTCCGCTTTAGCTAGACATTACGGCGTAAATGAGGTTATGAGATGGGTACCAAGAATGGTATGTGCTGAAATTTATGCAGCAAAGAAATTTCCGCTGACCAAACGATCTAGCAACACGACCTGACTGAATCTGGAGTTGACACGATATACACCCATGCCATGTACGCAATCATTGGAGCCATTGCACTCGAACACGGAAGTAAAGTTGCAAACGAGATCGTCCGCGATAGAATCCTGAAGCCCTTGGGTTTCCAAATCGGCGGAAACGCTTGACCAGCAGTGCGGTAAATAGATATATACACTTGGCTTTATGGCATTGGTATGGCGTTGAAGATATTCTGTTTGGCACCTTTGAGCCTTAGATTATGCTCTTAATCGTTTGTATTTTTTATATTTTCTTGTGAACAGGCTTGTACAATATTAACAGACAGACGGATGAAATGTAAAAACATGGCTCCCTCAAATTTCTCTCTCTATTACCACTGATCTATACACGCCTCTATAATTAGATAACAATTGTCCGACTTCTCTGACACCGCCCGCGCAACAAGGAAAAAAAATGCCCGGCCAGTTCTTATGAAGTCCCTGGAATTTGGTCTACGCATCACAATATCGCTAAGCGCAGCAATTGAATACCCTGATATGGCCTGACAGAAAGCCAGAGGCCAAGATTAGAGACCAGCCCTGGAAAACAAGACTGGATATGTTGGTTAGCACTGTCTGAAGGATGCGCGTTTGTGAAGAAAAGAAAGAAACGGCCAGGAAATTTTTAGAGTTGTAGTTTTTATAGAGCGGCGCTAGTCCCGATGTGGCCACGTCTGCGGGCTGTCTAGAGATAGCGACGCCAAACCTCCGTGGATAGCATAGACGGACGACGACGAGGAGGAGCTGCAGCCTTTGATACGCAACCATCGCTTGAGATTGACTGCTGATGACGATATAGACAACGGGATGAATTGACGGCCTCTTTCTTTACCCTGGTTTCTTTCTTTTCTTTTTACCTAGTTACTTCGAACAAAACTATGACGAGCTAGATAAATAAGCCGTTGCCTTCTGATCTTAAACGAATAGCTATTCGAAGAGGTCTCCCTTATTTATATCTTGCTCAGCAATGGCTTCGGCGGTGTTTTTCTTAGACCTTAAGGGCAAGGTAAGGTGTCCCCTGATGGCATTCCCATTCCTGGCATTGCAGCTAACCAGAGCATCCACCAGACCCTTCTTGCCCGCAACTATCGCGGTGACATCCCCATGTCTGCTGTCGAAAAATTCCCTATCCTTCTCAGTGAAGCCGAAGAAGAGAGCTCCGCGGTTCCTCCCTGCTTTTCCTCTGAAGGAGTTAATGTATGTTGCCAACGCTCCTTTACAATGTCAACCTATTTCCGGACTCTAGTGGGCGCATATGTCTAACCCGGGGCAATAAACAGTACCTTTATATCCGACACAGTAACCTGTATCTCCTTGCTCTTACGAAACGAAACACAAATGCTGCCGAAATACTTCTCTTCCTACACAAGATTGTGGAGGTCTTTACGGAATACTTCAAGGAATTGGAGGAGGAGAGTATTCGAGACAATTTTGTCATTATATACGAACTGCTGGATGAAATGATGGATTTTGGCCATCCACAAACCACGGAGAGCAAGATATTACAAGAGTATGATTACATATCCCACTTTCGGATATATGACTGGCGAGGTAGGATGTCTAGGGGTTGGGCATGGCTAACCACATTCCTTATTACATAGATACATTACCCAAGAATCGCACAAGCTTGAAGTACAAGCAAGACCCCCAATAGCTGTCACGAATGCAGTTTCATGGAGAAGCGAGGGAATCCGATACCGCAAAAATGAAGTATTCCTTGACGTCGTTGAATCGTTGAACCTCCTTGTTTCTGCTAGCGGAAACGTGCTTCGATCAGAAATATTGGGTGCTGTGAAGATGAAATGCTATCTCAGTGGTATGCCAGAACTTCGGCTAGGCTTAAATGACAAAGTGATGTTCGAAACAACAGGTCGAGCAACTAGGGGTAAGGCTGTCGAAATGGAGGATGTCAAGTTCCACCAATGCGTACGACTGTCCAGATTCGAAAACGACAGAACAATTAGCTTTATCCCACCAGATGGTGAATTCGAGCTAATGAGCTACCGACTCAACACCCAAGTGAAGCCGCTGATATGGGTAGAGTGTCTCGTGGAATCGCACTCCGGCTCGCGCATCGAATATATGCTTAAAGTATGTTCCTTCATACCCTATCTGCACAGCACTTGCAAGATAAAGCCAAACATGACAGATAGACTGACTCATTCACTTCCTTTCAATTAGGCAAAAGCTCAATTTAAGCGACGTAGCACAGCAAACAACGTGGAGATTCTCGTTCCCGTACCCGAAGATGCAGACTCACCGAGATTCCGGACAAACGTGGGCACAGTTCACTACGCACCCGAGAAATCCGCCATTATATGGAAAATCAAACAGTTTGGCGGTGGAAAAGAGTTTTTAATGCGTGCTGAACTAGGATTACCGTCCGTTAAGGGTGATGACGAGCATGGCGGTGGGATGACCGGCGGGTTTGGTGGAAGTATGGGAGGTGCAGGACAAGGCGGAAAAGGGAAGAGGCCTATCAACGTCAAGTTCGAGATTCCGTACTTTACAACGAGTGGCATCCAGGTCCGCTACTTGAAGATCACAGAGCCAAAGGTACGTCTTCCTCTCTTCATCTCAACCTCTATTCTACTCTATCGACCTCTCTACCTCTCTGGCCGTACCCACATCTGTGTTACTACATGCCATCCACTTGTTGGCTTTGTTCAACATTCCGTGCCAAGAGCCGATTGTCAAGCTCCCTGGCCACGTTTGACATGTTGTACATTTCCTCGTTCCCGCGCCCCGTGTGTTCCCTCTGTCACATTTACATCAAGCCATGAACTGTGGCTTTTCGTGATAAAATGCGTTGCTTTTTCTTTGCTAGCCAATACTGACTTGAAGTCGCCTGTTAGCTACAATACCCGTCGTTACCGTGGGTTCGCTACATCACTCAGTCCGGAGACATTGCAGTTCGCTTGCCGGATGCCCAATAGTTTTGAGTGGCACTTTGATTCGGCCATCCTGAACAAAAAAAGAAATGGGCTTCTTGGACGTTTAGAACTGCATGCCAACTGTGAACAAGAGATAGCACAATGATAACTTTGAAGAGAAATATAACGCAGTCTATGAGTGGTGGATGCAGTCCATCCAAGGTATACCGTCTTTGAATTATTTTATTGACTTGAGTGGATATAAACGTACATGACAACGAAAATGGCTGTCCCATGTAATCAGCGGTGAACGCGAACAGGGTGGCCGGATAGAAAGATAACAGCATCAGTTACGAGCTGCGTGTAACCGAAAATCCTACAAACGAGGTATGCGCTTCTGATAGCTGCCAAGATGCAAAAGTTGCAGGCAACAATCAAGGCAATGTACATTCAAGCAAGGGTGCTGGTGGTGAGTGGGATGGGAGAGAGCGAGAAAGGAGAAAAGAGAAAAGAGAAAAGAGAAAACTCATCACTTGCCGGGGTCTGGCACCTCTTGTCGTTACCTAGATAGATGGTAAGAAGCGCTGATACCTCAAGTGACGCAGATACTGATAAGGCAGAAATGCAAGGCTATCTTTAGCCTAACTGGTGTACGGGCATATGTAAGGTAGATTTTGGGGGAGCAATGGATCGAGATCTGGAGGACGTATGTAAACAAAACGAAAGCAAAAGATATTCATGTTTTCCTTGACAACTTCAGAGGTGACTATCAGGGGGATTTAAAGAGAGCGCCGTAGCTACCATCTTGGAATTTTCGTAGTTCCCTCTTTCCTTCACGCAGGTCTCCAGCCTCTGGGTCGGCTCTGATGGTTACAACCACGCCGTGCCTGTCGATCCCTATTCAGGAATGTTAGAAGCAAGGAAAGAGTAGTATTCTAGGTAAATGGCTTACTTTGAGGGGGGGATCGGTGAGGACTCCAGCGAGGCGGCTTGAAGCATCGTTGTATTATATCAGAGAGGCAATACTTGTCCCTTTCCCTCGGGCAAGAGAATGCAATAAGGCCCACAATCAGCGCTAGGTCGCCTGTAAGGTGGGTAAAGGGGACCGGGCTGCAATAGCTATCGTTGTATGTGTCTGGGAGAAGTTCTGGTACCCAGTCGCGAGACCCTCGTCCTGCAAGTGTGTAGCTGGTAGCCGAGAAGGTAGCTATTGACAAATTCTGTCTCTCGTCGTTCTTGAAGCGTAGCCTTCTCCAGGACTGTTCTGTCTGCTCAAGGTGATTTTGCATGCTGTCGTTGTTTCGACAGTCCACTGGAACTGTAAAGAAGTACGATGTTGACGATCTATAGAGAAGACTGCACACAGCAAAATCGCTGTCTCCATGGGTTTTTGCAGGAACCACACGCTCCGGAGTTCGTTGTAACCATTCGGTGGAATATAGTGTGCTATAAGTGCATTCGCGCGGAGGTGACCACAACCCATCAGCATCAAACTGTAGACTTTCGTCGTCCGCTTGTATATAATCCACCTTGAATAGGAACCTTAGTGACTTGTATCTTTCGTCACCCATTTTCTGCACGAAAGAAAAGTAAAGCAGATTCTGATCAAGGAATGCGGCGCGCCAGCACAGGAAGTATAGGTTTATTGCGGAGCGATGAGGTTTTCTGGCACCAAGGCTGCGTTGCCTTTCCTTAGAAAGTTTGGGGTAGAATAGAAAGGTTTTGGCGGCTTCTCTCAACACACGGTACGATCGTGACTAGATGTCAATTCCCATTGAGTTTGTTCTGGGGCCGAGTTTTAAACTTCTTATAGCGCTGTAAGAGCCGCATAAAAAGCAGAATTAAAAAAAAAAGCAGACTTAACCAATGTTATTGTCCGTTGTGTTTCCCAGGAGATTATCGAGTCCTTGCATCAAGATCTGATTGCAGTAATAGATCCTCCTTGCGTTTCACCTTGGTGTGGTAATGGCTATCATGTGCACATGAAGAACCTGCGTGGATACCCAATCGACGGCTGAGCCATGAGCTAGATGTACCATTTTTCTCTTCCCTCTATCGGTGAGAAGGGTTGATGTTATGAGAGCAAGCCACCGAGGGTGAGTTATGTCATGTCAGCCGAAGCCGAGCTTTCCATCACAAAGTGAGGGGTATGACAGGCTTTGGATTGCAAAGGAAATGTGGGCGACTGTGGTTGGATTGTCGAGAACACGCGGGGCCACATCTTATCGACTCTAAGCGGAATGACCTCCAAGTAAGACCTGAAATTTGTGGTTCGGTACTCAGCAACCGCGGAAAAACCGAGTAACTTTACCCCTGTCAGGGGTCGACTCGTCCTATGTTTGCGCAGCGACGATGAACACTGTGATATTGACATCCAGGGGTTGGAAGAGTACTGCCGGAATCAATTCATATCAAACTTGACGGGGTATCATCCTACTATCAAAACCAGCCCCATGCTCCTAGAGGGAAAGCTCCCATGGTGACATGACTAATTGATGCTTGGGTGATGATGTCTTCATGCATGATGGCCAATAGGATGGCCAGTTTGACCGAATCCCAGCAGGTGAAGAATCCCAAGGCTGCCACCATGTTGTCTTCAAGGAAAAAAAAAAAGCGGACAGTGCTGCATAAAATCAACAAGAGTGAAGAATCCAACATACGGTGAGCGTTCGATTGCGAGCTTTGGATGACGGTCATGGCGGTTTTATATGGCCCAGCACGGCAATGAACGCTGCAGCAGGTGATGAAGTTAGACCACTTGGCGCAGCAGGCACATCAGCCCCGTTTCCTCATCTGCTGGACGCCTGGACGCCTAGATGCCTATTTAACAGAATGAGCCACTGAGCGCTGCGAATTCCTGATCCCAACGCGACCGATGCCGAAATCAATGCTTGATAGAGAATTTGACAGGGCCATCATTGGTCGCTGAACGGCCTAGATTAGCGATGGACCATGATAGGCATTGATCCCGCTCGTACCAGGCACAGTTCCTCAATGCCCAAGTCGTTGATATCCTGACTCTGGCTTGAAACGATTGGAAGTCGTTCAGGCGCGCGAGTTCGCAGGGCCACGTGATTGGTTAACCGTAGGTAGTTAACGGCCCCGGTCCACGACATTCCACCTGGACAACCTTGGGTACAGCGTAACTAACTAGTTTCCACTCGTTCCCGGGGGTTTGATGGAAACCCTCAACCCGGTGCTGCTGCCAAAGGCCTCTTAACCGTGAGATATACCCACGCCCTTCCTGTTCCAGAGTAATTACTTCAAGCAATAGAATATCCGGGCACGAAAACTGCCCTTTTGTTGATTAATTAGGCAGCGCTGTCGCTGTGGTGCTCTTTGCCACGAAGAATTCCCCAGTTTCGACGGGCTAGAGGCTGTGGGGCCGTACAAGGTCGATCTGGTCACAAAGGCGGCCGAATTGTCGTCAGTCGGAGATATCAACAAAGTCTCCTTTCGGCGCCGTCATGACTACCCGCCAATTATACCCCGAAACCCAGCCCTACCTCTAGCTTGGTAACATTAATATAGCCTTTGATAATTGATCAGCCATGAAGGTCCTTGCCAATCGAGCTTGAAATAACATTCCCCGGGCTTACCAAGGCTAAGGTATGCCACTTTCAGAAGTAGAGGCGATGCACCTCTATATAGTTATGTATTCTATAGTCACAGTTATTAGTTACATACTCTTCTACCTCATATATACTCAGAATATTGAAATGTGTGCACCTTTTCCTTTCTGGCTTAGACGTAATAATTGCAGCTAACCCGGTTCCTGGTCTAGAATGACTAGGATCTTTAGCATCCAGGCTGCTACAGGGTAGTTACTGTAAAGAAAGCAGTTAGCTATCATTTTAGTCGACAGAAGGCGAAGATTCCTTTTAACATCCACTGGAAATGTGAAGCTTGAAATCAGGTAGTTATATGAAGGTAATTCCAGGAAATTATACTAATAAGCAAGATTTGAACAGGCGAAATAAGGTACCTTGGGGCAACTAGACGAGTGTGATTTGGCTTAATGGTTTCCTATTATAGGCATTTTTTTTATCAGATGCGGCCCCACCGTGACACTCATCTGATAACCTTGATCAGATAAAAATAACTTTAATATTAAGATTACATAATCTCTATAAACCTTCTTGACTCGTTTTTTGTTTTTTGTTTTTTGGGTCTGAGCAACGACAAGCCTTGGAAACTCTCAAATCCCGATGATTAATGAAAGCGACCCAAGAACCAAAGCTGCGTGTGATTCCCACCAAGGTAAACAGAAAAAACAAGTTAGTACGACAAACAATGCCAACAGGAGATGTTGCCCGTTCCTTCATATCCCCGCTACAATGCACGAATACCAGTGAACAGCTGACCTTGCGCCTTTCCCTGCCCATAGCGCCTTTGCGTGCGCCTGAAACGAGGCCAGTTCTCCTTGTTGGTGTAACACAGCCCTCCGTATTTTTTGTGGCCGCCATGCGACGGCTTGACCCCTGATTTGATCCCACTCAACGCGTCTTCCCTGTCGTATTCCGCCCATGCCTCGCCTTCTGCTTGGTTGTTTTGCAGCAATATCACTGCCAAGCTGACTAAGGAGACGCCCTACACCCCTTTCAGTCTCCGGCCAACTCAATATGTTGACTCAGCGGTCTTTTGGCGTGCCGAACTTGTGTCTGATGCCGGGGACGGCGGACGAAAAAAGACGAGGAGCAACTTTTATATTTATTATTTCTGGTGCTGCAGAACACGCATGAGTCGGAATGCGTCACATCATGTCACGTCTCATCTCATACCCCGGGACAGGGGCAGAGGTTTGCATGGCCAGCACGCCTCTGTCGGCTGAGTCAAGCTCATCACTGACATGGCTGGCAGTGGCCGTCTTGTAACTAATGGATATACCGGCTATTTCATCCGGCCGTTAAAAGGCAGCAAGTTGGATCAGCCTTCATTAAACTAAGACCGGCTTAACAAGCTCCAGAAGGAATACGATGTCAGAGCACCAGCCAACAGCTTTGTCCTCGGGCAAAAGTGGAACTGCTCAAGATAAATCACTCCTTCGGCCTTTCCAAGTCCGAAGTTGAGTCTTTTCCGGCCCCACAATAGGTTAAGTAAGAAACTGAAATCTCTCTCAAATACGTTGGATCAATCTTGCTTTCTCCCTTTCTTTTCTCCTTTAATCTATATAATCGAAAGGCGTCGCTGCCGTTGTCGCTTTATAGATATATACGGCAGCAAGGTTGACTCACCCCAGGTGGCTCTATCTGATATACAAAGGAGTTTCTATATCTTGTTTCTTTCTATAGTTCTTTTGGTATCAATATTTGATTGGTTTGGCCATCTCCAGGCTACGATCTACCCACCTGAAACCAACCCGACTAGAATAATATCAACCTATGTCTCTAAGCCTTCGGCTTTGATACCCAACCAAGGATAGAAACTCATGGCATCCAATACCGTGGGAGCTAATCCTTCCAAATCTGAAAATCCTAGCGAAACCTCAGACTCGGATACAATCTTCGCCAGCAGTGATTATGAACGTGAGCGAGAGAACCTCAGGAATGCTAACCGTCAAGGCTTGA